GAGGGAGGAGCCGCTCAGGAAAAGGGGGCGGCAACCCAGCACGTGGTCACGTGGCCTCCTGCCGCCGGTCCCTCGCCTCCCGCCCTCTTCCACCACCGCCGCCATTTTATTTCCCGCGCCTCTCTTTTTCGCCTTCGAAAAAAGCATTCGCGATCCGACCGCAGTCGTCGCCCCGCGGGCCCCCGGCGCGCGCCTGCCGCTGCACGGCGCCTTTTGCATTCGACGCCCTCCCGCTCGGCGGCGGCGTCTTTGCAATTTCGGGTGGAATCCGAAACGACCTCCAACGCGGGCGAGTGAGTGACGCGAGCGAGTGAGCGGGCGCGAGCGAGTGAGTGACGCGAGCGCGCGCGAGGACGACGCCGCGGCCGCCATTAACGCTGCCGTCCGGAGACCTTGGACCCCACCCACGGGGGTGGGGGGACCTCCTCACGAATTCCCCCGACGAGAGTTTTTCGACGCGGCGACGGAGAGGGCGGACACCGGGGAGTGCAGTTGATGCGGACAGGAAAGACCTCTGTAAGAAAGATAGACGGAGCCCACGGCACGAAAGGGACGGTGGCAGCGGATCCCCGGACCGTCCGGGAGTCGGACAGCAGCGCCCGGAGGGACGTCGGGGTCGGGCGGTCAACAGTGAGGAGGATAGGAGCCCCCAACTGCGGGAAGACTCCGGGAACGGTCAAACGGGCGACACGCGGCGGGTGGGTTTCGATGCGGGTAATGCAATTTGGTAGAAAGAATAATAACAATAATCAATAATAATCCTCGCGTTTGATATAGCGCTTTTCCCGTCGGGAGGACGTCCCAAAGCGCTTCACAGAACACACTGTAAAGTGAATTGACTGTATATTTGTGGGCGAACGCGGCGGCCAATTGCGCACAGCAATGTCCCACAAACAGTCGTGGATCGAAAATGACCAATTTATTATTGTTTTTGGTTTTGGAGGGAATATTATTAGGCTCTGTGGAGTAAGGAAACTTGCCCAAGGTTTGGCCCTCTGCCGGGAATTGAACTCAGGTCTCTCACTCGCAAAGCGAGTGCTCTAACCACTGAGCTACAGGACTCCGACTGAGCTACAGAATGAAGGGCAATATAGGCGGTAATACAATCTCAAGGGGGGGTAAAAGAACAGAGAGATCTGGGGGTTCAGGTAATGGAATCCTTGAAGGCGGCCGGACAGGGGGATACGGTGTACAAAGGGAATATGGGATACGAGGCTTTATAAATAGGGGCACAGAGTACAAGAGGTGATGATTAACCGATAGAAAACACCGGTTGGACCTCAGTTGGAATACTGCGCCCAATTCTGGGCACCGCACTATAGGAAGGACGTTAAGGCATTGGAAAGGGCGCGGAGGAGATTTACGAGGACGGGACCAGGAATGAGGGACCGTGAGGATGAGGGAAGGCTACAGAGAGGCCGGGATTATTCTCATTGGAGCAGAGAAGGTTACGAGGTTTAAAAACCCGGTGGACGGGTATTTGAGGAGGACGGGTTTGCAGGTTATGGGGAAAGGGCCGAGGAGTGGGATTGGCTCTATTAATTGCTCTATTCAAAGAGCCGCACAGACTCGATGGCCGAATGGCCTCTTTTTGTGCTGTACAATTCTGCGATTCTATGATTCTGGCTCGGAGGTGAGAGAGAGAGAGACACCAAATGACAGTGTAATAATAACAACATATAAATAATCCTCGCGTTTGATCTATTGCCTGACCGCGTGGTCCAGACGCCTCAAAGCACCTCACAACAACAACACCTTCACCTCCAAGCGGGGTCTGTGTGTGTCTATGCGTGTGTGTCTGTGTCTATGCCTACGTGCATCTTTGTCTGTGTGTCTATGTGTGTGTGTTTGTATGTGTATCTCTGTGTCTATGTATCTATGTCTGTGTGTATCTCTGTGTCTATGTCTGTGTGTGTGTCTGTCTGTGTATCTGTGTGTGTGTGTGTCTGTGTCTATGTCTGTGTGTGTCTCTGTCTGTGTATCTGTGTCTGTCTGTGTGTGTCTGTCTGTAAGTGTATCTCTGTGTCTATGTTTGTGTCTGTGTGTGTCTCAGTGACTATGTGTGTGGAGTAAGGAAACTTCCCTAAATTTCGCCCCGACCTGCCCGGGAATCAAACCCAGGTCCTCTCGCTTGCGAGACGATGGCTCTCGCCAGCCACTACGTTGCAGGACTGCATAGTGTAGTGACTGTGTATTTTGTAGGTGAAATAAGTCAAGAATCAGCCGTGGACGCGGGGGTTCGGGGGGGTCGAGTGACTTTAATTCCCTTCTGCTAGGTTTCAAAAAACCATAAAAGGTCATCACATATATGTATTGTTTACAGAATTACAAGGATCCGTTAGGTACAGCGTCAATACTAAACTTACACACAGTCAAAAAGGGTCATTTATAACAGATTATAACAGGTACAAAAAGGGGTGATGCCAGTGACCCGGGAACAGCTTAGATGCTTAACAGTGACTGACACACACACACACACACAGTATACACACACATACTGTACTACACACAGTGATTCACACACATAGTAACATACACACTGTACCACACGCAATGACTCACACACAGTAACACACACACACACACACATACCGTACCACACAGTGATTCACACACAATGACTCACACACATCGTAACACACACACACACTGTACCACACACACAGTAACTCGCACAGTATACACACACACAGTACTACAGTGACCCACACAGTAACTCACACACAGTATATACACACACATTGTACCGCAGTGACTCACACACACAGTAACATTCACAGTACACACACAGTGACACGCACACCCAGAGACTTGACACACTAACACATAACACCAATACTCACACACACACACCGAACTGTCAGTGACACACACAAACACACACCCCCACAGCGAAGCACGAACACTGTCACGCAAACAGTGTTCAAACCAGACCGAGAGTTCCACTGACTGGCGAGTGTGTCACACTCACACGTGGAAATCTCCGTCGTTGCCAGGAGAGGAACGCGCACTCTCTCCCCCTGGAGGGACGCAGCGTGTAACACTCATCCTGGAGAGTGTCATGTGCAGGTTGGCCAGAGCCTACATGGATGTATGCAACCCGGGTCATGAACTCGGGCACCAGATAATGCCTTCCAGCAGCTGTTACCCCAAACCTCAGAGGTTCCTCATCAGCTATCTGATGGGACACGTGTGTGTGCGTGTGAGACACGGTGTGTTTCACTATGTGTGTGTTAGTGTGTGTATCACTGCGTGAATCACTGTGTTTCGGTGTGTGATAGTACGTGTGTCACTGCGTGAGTCACTGCGTGTCACTGTGTGCATGGTAGTACGTGATACTGCACGCGTGTGTGTAATAGCGTGTATGTGTTTGACAATGCGTCAGTGTGCGCGTGTGTACGTGATAGTGTGTGCCACTGTGTGTCACTTTATGTCACCGTGTGTCACTGCGCGTGATAGTGGGTGCCAGTGTGCGTGTCATTGCACATGACAGTGCATGTTACTGTGTGTGTGTCTGCGTGAGAGCGTGCACACGTGATAACTGCACTTGTGTGTATCACTGTGTGGGAAAGTGTGTGGTGACTGCGTGTCGTGTGCACGTGATATTGTGTGTATGTCACTGTGTGCACGTGTATAGCATGTGTATGTGATAGCGTCACTATGTGTGTGCATGAGTGACGGTACGTCAGTGTGTTTGCGTGAGTGATAGTGTGTCACCTTGTGTGTGCACGACAGTGTCACCGTCTGAGTGCGTGAGTGTGTGTGTCCGTGAGTGCATGTGTGTCACCGTGTGTGCGTGTCACTGCGCGTTTGTACAGCTTGATAGTATGTGTGAGCGTGTCATGCGTATGTCACTGTGTGCGTGTCAATGTGTGTGTGTGTGTAGCTTGATAGTGCGTGCGTGTGCCGTGTGTGTCACTGTGTGCGTGTCACTGTGTGCATGATCTGCCTTCAGCGCAATGGGAGAACCTCGACAGGAGCTGGAACACACGTAGGTGGGACCAATCCCCGTGAGGTCTGGCTCAGTGCCGCACTCCCCGGCTGTGTGTGGGTGTGTGTGTGTGTGTGTGCGTGTGTGGGTGGGTGTGTGGGTGGGTGTCGCTCCCCGAGGTCCTTTATCTAACAATAAATAACAATAAATATTAATATTAATGTTAATAATAATCTGTGCGTTCGAAATCGAGTCTCCCGATGGCTCGTGGAGGTCACATGCCATGAGGTGGGGGTCGTCGGGGGGGGGGGGGGGGGGGGGCCCGCGGGGTGGGGCGGGGTCAGGGGCCACGGAGGCAGTTAGAGGCGTGGCCAGTGTAGACATGCAGGGCGGAGTCGGGGCGGGGACAACATTGGCGTGCAGGATGGGGCGGGGTCAAGGGGCCCATAGGGGCAGGGCCTCTGGACGGGCGGGGTCAGTGGGGCCGGGGCCGGAGGGCAGGGCACCACCCCGTTTTTAAGGACCGTTACAAAACTGCCCGGGATAATATGAACGGGGGAGGGGGTGGGGGGTGGACGGGCGGCGAGATAACAGGGGCGGTTATAGCTTCCTGCGACCCACTGGGCCCGCAGGAAGTGAGGTCGGTGTCACTTCCCGCCGCCGACCCGCCGGGAGGAAGTGACATGGCGGGCGGTGGCCATTTTGTACCGCGATTGCAAGCCGATTTCACGCGCCGCGCGCCACGGCGGGATCCGCCCGCGCTCGCACAAACACCTAATCACACGCACGCACGCTCACCCGCACGCGCACGCGGCCCTCCCCCGCCGCGTGCCTAGTCACTAAGAAAAATAGACGTCTCGAAACCTCTGTAAACGTAAAAATCCACAAAAAATCCGCACAAAACCCGCTACAAAATGGCCTGTACAAACCGCACACCACTAGGTAAAATAAACCAGCTATTTACACACCACAAACTCTATAAAAGGGTTTCCCAGGGGAGGAGGGAAGAGGGGAGGGAGGGAGGGGAGAGGTCCAAATATAGCTGTCTCGACGGTTTCTTCACATCTCAGTCTCTCGCTGCGACTCAGGTGCTGAAGTAGACTGCAAGAGAACAGAGGAATGTAGGAGTGTGAGAGACCTGGAGTCCTGTAGCTTCTCATCGTCATAATAATAATAATTATTATTGTAATAACCCTTGCGTTTGCTACAGCGCCTTCTTCGAGACGTCTCAAAACGCCTCACGGGAGACGCTCGTGTTATTTCGGGGGCGAAACGCGGCAGTGGACCGCGCCCAATGGTGTTCCCACAAACAGTCGTGGATTGGGTGACCAAATGTTTTTAAGGGACTATTACCCCCAGAAATGCGATCCGCCAATCGACTAACACACGGATTGCTGCTTACCGCTGGTGAACAGAGGCGTGTGCGTGCGTGTGTCTGTGAGGAGTAAGGAAACCTGCCCAACATTGCGCCCTGACCTGCCCAGGAATCGAACCCTGGTCCTCTCGCTTGCGAGGCGAGCGCTCTAGATCACTGAGCTACAGGACTCCGCGTAGTTTCGTGTTAAAAGTACTCGGTTACTCACGCAGCGAGTTGCTGGGGTCCGGAATGCATTGACCGAAAGGCCGGTGGAAGCCGATTCGATAACAACTTTTAAGCGACACGTAGGTAATTATTTGGGAGGACAAGTTTGCAGAGCTATGGGGAGAGAGCGGGCGAGTGGGGTTGATCGGGGCTATGGGGAGAGAGCGAGGGAGTGGGGTTGATCGGGGCTATGGGAGAGTGCGGCGGAGTGGGGTTGATCGGGCTATGGGGAGAGAGCGGGGGAGTGGGGTTGATCGGGGCTATGGGAGAGAGCGGGGGAGTGGGGTTGATCGGGGCTATGGGGAGAGAGCGGGGGGAGTGGGGTTGATCGGGGCTATGGGGAGAGAGCGGGGGAGTGGGGTTGATCGGGGCTATGGGGAGAGAGCGGGGAGTGGGGTTGATCGGGGCTATGGGGAGAGAGTGGGGGAGTGGGGTTGATCGGGGCTATGGGGAGAGTGCGGGGAGTGGGGTTGATCGGGGCTATGGGGAGAGAGCGGGGGAGTGGGGTTGATCGGGGCTATGGGGGAGAGTGGGGGGAGTGGGGTTGATCGGGGCTATGGGGAGAGTGCGGGGGAGTGGGGTTGATCAGGGCTATGGGGAGAAAGCGGGGGAGTGGGGTTGATCGGGGCTATGGGGAGAGTGCGGGGGGAGTGGGGCTGATTTGGAAGCTCTTTCCAAATAGTCGGCACAGACACGATGGGCCGAATGGCCTCCTTCTGCGCTGTGTAATTCTCTGATTCTACGAACTCACCGATTACAACAATGAGGACAATCGCACAGATCACTCCCAGAACAATCATCATCTGTAACACAGAGAGAATCAGAGTCAGGATATAACACTCACAATGTTAGGGAGACATTCCTCCTCCCCCTCAACAACTATCTCCCCTTCCTCTTTTTTTTTGGGGGGGGGGTGGGGGGTGTCTGACACACACGGAAACCCGTCACCGTGACCGGTCGGGTGTCTGACACACACGGAAACCGTCACCGTTACTTAAGAGTCTCCAAACCCGACTGAGAATTCCCCCCATCGCCCCCACACCCGGGAACCCCAGAGAGAGATCGTTGGGATGGAATGCGCTCTCTCTCTCTCTCTCTCCCTGGAGGGACGCCCTCTGATTACCTAATTCCGGAGAGTATTAGGCGCAGGTTGGCGAGAGCCAAGGCTTTGGGGGGAGCCCAGAGTGTGTGTTGGGGGGTAACTGTTGGGGTCTAACCAACTAAACCCACACACAGCTCAGCCATAGAGAGAGAGAGAGAGAGCGAGCGCTGTGTGGCCGAGCTTTCCCGCTGCTTGTCCAGCGAGGACCCCCCTCCCCGTTAGTTAGTTAGTTGGCGTTTTGGCTGTGGGGGTAACAGGAGCTGAGGGGGAGGATTCCCTGCCCTCAGTGACCAGTCGGCCATTCCAGGTCCTGCCGATGGGCCGGGCCGGGCCGCCATCAGCAGTTTGACACAGTGCCTTTCACGCCGTGAGGAGATCTCCCAATGAGGACCCACTGACCTTCATGTTCTTCCACCAGAATTTGCGTTTGAGCTTTGCTGCACTGCTCTCGAACTGCGAGGCTCCAGCCTGCAGAGCGTCCGCCCGGTCATCCAGCTCCGACAGCTTCTGGTCTCGCTCCAGCACCTTGTCAACATTCACCCGCATGATGTCCACCACCTGGTACCCAACACACAGCAGGTCAGACCCCACGGAGGTCAGCAACCCCCTCCCCCCCCCCCCCCCCCCCATTCCAACCCTGACCCCAGCTTTAACCCTGATCTGTGAGGGCACAGTGTAGAGGGAGTGGGGGTGAGGGGGGGGGGGGGGGGAGAGGGGCGAGGAGGGTGGGCGAGGGGTTGGATGGTGAGGGGGCGTGATTAGGGGCCGGGGTGGTTGGAGGGTATGGGGGATTAGGGTCGAGGAGGGTGTGTTGGGGGCGAGGAGGGGGGGTTGGAGTGTGAGGGGGCGGTTGGAGGGTGAGGGGGCGGTTGGAGGGTGAGGAGGAGGTTGGAGGGTGAGGTTGGAGGGGGCGGTTGGAGGGTGAGGGTGCGGTTGGGAGGGTGAGTGGGCGGTTGGAGGGGGCGGTTGGAGGGTGAGGGGCGGTTGGAGGTTGAGGTGGGCGGTTGGGAGGTGAGGGGTGGTTGGAGGTTGAGGGGGCGGTTGGGAGGTGAGGGGGGGGGGGGTTGGAGGGGCGGTTGGAGGTGAGGGGTGGTTGGAGGGGGCGGTTGGAGGGTGAGGGGGTGGTTGGAGGGGGCGGTTGGAGGGTGAGGGTTGGTTGGGGGGGGTGGGGGCTTTGCTGATGGCCCCCTGACCCACCTCGTCGACCTGGGCCTGTGTTTGCTGGAGCCGGCGGTTGCTGGTGAGGTTGGGGGGGGCCGGGGGCCCCCCGGGCCCTGGGGCTCCATCTCCCCCCGGGGGGCGGCTGGCGGCACCGACCTGGGGATAAACACACCGTGAGAGGAGGAGGGGGAGAGTACACACACACTCCCCGCGCACACATGTCAGTTACACGCACTCCCCGCGCACACAGCGTCAGTTACACGCACTCCCCGCACACACAGCGTCAGTTACACACACGGGGACACACACACACACGTGTCATAAACACGGGGACACACACGTGTGTGTGTGAGGCACACACAGCCTCACACACACACACAGCCTCATACACACAGTGTCAGTCACACACGCACAGCCTCTCACACACAGTCACACATACAGTCACACACACACAGCCTCACACACACAGTCACACAAACAGTCACACACACACAGCCTCACACACACAGCCTCACACACACAGTCACACACACACAGCCTCACACACACAGTCACACAAACAGTCACACACACACACACACAGCCTCACACACACAGTCACCAAACAGTCACACACACAGCCTCACACAGCCTCACACACACAGCCTCACACACAGCCTCACACACACACACACACACACACAGCCTCACACACAGTGTCACACACACACACACAAACCACAGTATAATCGAATGTGTGTCTCAGGGTATTGGTGATGATGATGATGATGATGAAGGTACAATCCAGATATGACAGATCCGGGTCATTAATAAATTCCCGGGTGAACATCGATCGGCGTATTTTTTGGGGGGCAAAACCCCCATTAAATACATTTGGGGTCAGTACCCCCCACGTCCCCCCCCCCCCCCCACCCCGGGGGGCAAATTAAATCACAGCATCTGCTTATCGCAAAACCCCCGGTGACACCGCATTGGTCGTTCGCAAAAAAATAAAAACCCGGGTAAATTTGTTAAACCCCCAGGTAAACATGGCACGACGTCACTGCCCCCCCCCCCACCACCACCCCCTCACCAGGGGAATTTGCAACCAGTGAAGCCGTGCAATGTTCTTACCCGGGGGTTTAACAAATCTACCCGGGTTTTTTCTGCAGTCCACTGCACAGTCCGGTTAACTGCAACACCCCCCCCCCCCCCCCCCCCCAGTAAATTGCATTGCATAGTCCGGGTAATTGCAACCCCTCACCGGTTAATTGCAACCGCGCCCCCACCAGAAATTGCAACCGCCCCCCCCCTCCCGGTTAATTGCAACCGCCCCCCCCCCCACTCCCGGTTAATTGCAACCGTCCCCCACCCCCTCCTGGTTGATTGCAACCGCCCCTCACCCCCTCCTGGTTAATTGCAACCGCCCCCCACCCCCTCCTGGTTGATTGCAACCGCCCCCACCCCCTCCCGGTTAATTGCAACCGCCCCCCACCCCCTCCCGGTTAATTGCAACCGCCCCCCACCCCCTCCTGGTTGATTGCAACCGCCCCCCACCCCCTCCTGGTTAATTGCAACCGCCCCCCATAAATTGCAACCGTCCCCCACCCCCTCCCGGTTAATTGCAACCACCCCCCCCACCCACCCAACCCCTGGTAAATCAGGTGGTTATTGCAGAATTCGGGTGGGGGAGTGGGGGAGGGTATAATTTGCAACAACCCCCCCCCCCCCCCCCCCGGGTAAACATTGCACAGATTCACAAGTTGCAAAATCCGCGGAAAAATACATTGGGTCCATTTTGCAAAAAAAAAAACCCGAATAAATCGCAAACGAACGATGCAATTTTTTTAAAACCGTTTTTTTTTGGCAAATCACCGGATTCCCGTCATTTACTCGGGGCGGGGGGCGGGGGGGGGGTGTTAGTCGGTGGTGGTGGTGGGGGAGGGGAGGGAGTTGCGCAAATGGATGAAACCAAATGGCATTTAACGGGGATTTGCAAAAAAAAAACACCCCAAACCGTGATTTTTTGTTGTTGTTGTTGTTGCAAACCCCCCGGTAAACAGCATCGCACGGGCCTGTTGATTGCAACCGGCGCCGCGCCCCCCCCGACCCCCCCCTCCTGGTAATGGCGTTGCACATTCCGCTCAATTGCAAATCCCCGTTAATTGCATCGCACAGTCCGGTTGTTGCAGGGCCCGGTCATTTGCAAAACCGCCCCCACCCCCTCACCCCCAGTTAATTGCATTGCACGGTCCGGTTAATTGCAACCCCCCCGCCCGCCCCGGTAATTGCATTGCACGGTCCGGTTAATTGCAAACCCTCCCGGTGCCCCCCCCCCCCCGCTCACATCTCCGCGGCTCTGTCTCCGCTGCTCGAGCTCGGCCGCTGGTGACAAAGATGGTCCTGGAGCTGAGGCGGAGCTGTCAATCATCCCGGGCTGCAGGGGGCGGGGCCACACACGTCATCCTGCAGCTACAGCGCGCGTCTGCAATCTGTGCGCGTGTGTGTGTGTGTGTGCAATCTGTGTGTGTGTGTGCAATCTGTGTGTGTGTGTGCAATGTGTGTGTGTGCAATCTGTGTGTGTGTGCAATGTGTATGTGTGTGTGCAATCTGTGTGTGTGTGTGTGCAATGTGTGTGTGTGTGTGCAATGTGTGTGTGTGTGTGTGCAATCTGTGTGTGTGTGCAATGTGTGTGTGTGCAATCTGTGTGTGTGTGTGTGCAATCTGTGTGTGTGCAATCTGTGTGTGTGTGTGTGTGTGTGCAGTGTGTGTGTGTGTGTGTGCAATCTGTGTGTGTGTGCAATCTGTGTGTGTGCAATCTGTGTGTGTGTGTGTGTGCAATGTGTGTGTGCAATCTGTGTGTGTGCAATGTGTGTGTGTGTGCAATCTGTGTGTGTGCAGTGTGTGTGTGCAAGCAATCTGTGTGCGTCTGTGTGTGTGCAATCTGTGTGTGTGTGTGCGTCTGTGTGCAATGTGTGTGCGCGTGCAATCTGTGTGTGTGTGTGTGTGCAATCTGTGTGCGTCTGTGTGTGTTCGTTTGTGTGTGTGTGTGCAATCTGTGTGTGTGTGTGCGTCTGTGTGTGTTTGCAATCTCTCTGGTCAGTCAATCCACGACTGTTTGCGGGGACGTCATTCCGCGCAATTGGCCGCAGAGCTTTGCCCACAAAACACACAGTCACTGCGCTTCACGGCGTATTCTGTGAAGCGCTTCGAGACGTCTCGACGACGTGATGACTCTCCGGGTCAAGTGCAACGTTTATTCCTTATTATTGTCCCATCATTAACAACCACAATGCTCTTAATTATTAGCAACATTATTAATCATTAGCCAACTCTCGGCGTAAAGAAGTGTCTCCTCGTCTCCCCTCTGGTTCTTTGGCCAATCTTTGGCCGGGTTGAGCGCCCGGATTAAATCTCCCGTCAACCTTCCCTGCTCCGAGGAGGATAACCCTCGCTCCTCCGGCCTCTCCTGAGAGCAGAAGCCCCTCATTCCTGGTCCATCTCCTTCGCACCCTCCCCAATGCCTTGACATCCTCCCAAAAATATGGTGCCCGGAACCGACCGCAGTCGCTCGCTGCGGCCGTAACCAGCGACTTATAAGGCTTTATCTTAACCTCCTATTCTATTTATGAGACGTGGATCGGATGCAAAGGGAAATAGGCATCGAGCGTCAGGGGGAGGAGACGGCTTTGATTCCGAAAAAAANTCGCATTCGGCCCCGTTTTCCAGAGCGTTGGTATATCGACAGAAACCGGGCGGAAAGGATGTGTGGAACGAACCTTAAGCCAAACCCCGGTGAGTCAGTCTGTCCTTTGGGTTGGGTTTCCCCGATCTGTTAACACGTCAACAGGGCCAAAACACGCAGTAACGTGGCAACGGCGCACCGTTGGGGAGGAGGTTATAAGAATTAACCAGCGATGGAGCGCAGTGGTTGGAGCGACGAGAAGACCTGCAGTTGATTTCCCGTCGGGGGCGAGAGCTTCGGCAGGTTTCCTTAGTCCGCCCACGCCTCCGTTTACCAGCAGTCAGGAGGAACCCTCGTGTTGGCGACGGGTGGAGAGTGCTTTTCCGGGCGTGACAGTCCCTTCGAGAATAAATAATAACGCGGTCACTCAACCCACGGCTTTGTAGGGGCGCTGCTGCCGGGTTTCGCCCGCGCGGGGGCTCCGCTCGACCGTACAGCCTGCGAAGCGCTTTGAGACGTCTCGCAGGCGACGGGTCAAAGGCGAGGGTTGTTATCATCAATCTCTGCGGTTTCCACGTGTAGGTGGGAAGGGCGGAACTCGTGACGGGTCTCCACGTGTGTCGGACACGCGGCTGATAATAGTGATCCTCGCGCTTGACACAGAGCCTCATCACGTCGTCGAGACGTCTCAAAGCGCTTCGCAGGGATACACTGTAAATTGTAGTGACTGTGTGTTTTGACCAAAAGAACGACACACAGCGCAAACGCTCAGTGACTTCTGATGGCAAACAGCCCGAGATGATCCACTGAGGAAACACAAAGTGTTCGAGGTTTTCGAAATCTTTATCGCTTTCAATGAACGACAGTCACCTCCAGACAGTCACAGCTAATCTACGGCCACCCTCATTCCCCCTCACTCACTCGCTCGCTCACTCGCTCACTCACTCACTCACTCACTCGCTCTCTCACTCGCTCACTCACTCAATCGCTCGCTCACTCACTCTCTCGCTCACTCAATTGCTCACTCACTCACTCAATCGCTCACTCGCTCACTCACTCACTCACTCGCTACTCACACACTCGCTCTCTCACTCGCTCGCTCACTCAATTGCTCACTCACTCAATCGCTCGCTCACTCGCTCACTCCCTCGCTCACTCACTCACGCACTCACGCTCACTCGCTCATTCACTCACTCACGCACAGGATTGTTTTTTTTGGTCAGCATTTCACACCGCGCCTTACCACGTCTTCGAGACGTCTCAAAGCGCTTCACAGAATATGCTATAAAGTGTAGCGACTGTGTATTTTGTGGGCAAAACGCAGCAGCCAGCTGCGCCCCCAGCGACGTCCCCACAAACAGTCGCGGATTGAGTGACACGATTTGTCTTAAAGAATTATTATTACGCCCGGAAAGCGATCCACCAGTCACTAACTTCCTCCTGAGTGCCGGTAAACAGAGGCGTGTGTGTGGGTGAAGGAAACTTGCCTGAGGTTTGCTTAATCCACACACACACACAGCGCTTTGGGACGTTCTCCCGACGTGAAAGGCGCTCTATCAATGCAATTTTGTTGTAAGGTTTAGCCCCGACTGGGAATCAAACCCAGGTCTGGTTTGCGAGGTGTGTTCTTCGTCAATTGGCTTTCCTTTCCAGGGGGTAATAATTAATAAAAATTAACGTGGTCGCTCAACCCGCGACTGTTTGCGGGGACGTCGCCGGGCGCAAATGGCCGCCGCGTCTCGCCCACAAGATACGCGGTCGCCGGCCTTTACGGTGTCTCCCGCGAAGCGCTCTGAGTACGTCTCGGAGACGCGATAAGGCGCTGTGTCTAATGCAGGGATTATTATTCTATTATTATCGCAGTCACATAGGCTCAGGGAGTTTGTGGTGAGAGGCTGCGCCCGAGGGCACGGACTGTGAACGCAGGTAAAGTGGTGAACAGGTTGGGCGAGTTCTTGTTCCCACCCTCCGCTGTGTCACAGGAGGGATGGGCTTCCAAGCAGGAAGCAACTGAGAGAAAAAGGGGGACAACTACCTCTATGCTGGCGCCACAACAAGAAAAGGGGGCACGAAATTCCTGCCACTTTTCCTGGGATAATCAGCCGTACTTTGCCCCCTCCAGGAAGCCAACGGCATCCAAACTTCCCCGAGATAACATTCCAAGGATCCTCAGGGTTGGGATTGAGCCGAAGGTGCGTTCCTGTGCTTTAACCTTTGACCGTTCCTTCTATCGAAATGCGGGTGTGAATCCCTCTGATCGTGTTTGGTCCGTATCCGTTTCCTGTTCGTTTCTCCCTCTGAGTTTGGCCATAAACCGTGTCACTCGGCTGTTATCTGAGGTGTTTCTGCGGAGCGTAGCTGAGGGCGGTGTGTGTGGGCTTAGACGAAGGTTCGTAGGGGGACACTTGTAGCCCAACCGGTTACGTCTGAGCTCAGCAACACAGCGCTGAGTGGGATCAGTGCAGTCCCGAAGCTCCGTGGGTTACAAGTTTGGGCAAAACTTCACGCAAGTTTCCTCCCGTAAGTCTCCTTACCCCACACACGCCCCTCTGTGTGCCCCGCAGTAAGCAGGAACCCTCTTGTTATCAATCCACCACTGCGCGTGGGACACCGCTGTGCGCCATGGGCTGCCGTGTGTCACCCACAGTCACTACACTTTACCCTACAGCCCTCACAGTATATTCTGTGAAGCGACAAGAGACGTCTCGAAGACGTGATATTTCGTTTTGGGGAGAGGGATTATTACCCCCGGAAAGCGATTCCCCCAATCGACTTAACAAGTGGGTTCCTACTGACTGCTGGTAACCAGAGGCGTGTGTGTGGGTGTGCGTTTGTGTGTGTATGCGTGTGTGTGTGTGTGTGTGTGTCGGGGGTGGGTGGGAGGAGTAAGGAAACTTGCCTAACTCGCCCTGACCTGATCCGTCCGGGAATTGAACCCGGTTTGCGAGGGGAGGGCTCTAACCGCAATACCACAGGACTCCACGAACGTCAACAGAATTTGGTCGCTGTATATACACCACGTGGTGGGGTACACATTATCGAGTGCTTCTCCCCTCAGGTGTCAGTATGTCTCCAGAGGAGGGCAGCGAGTGGTTGCGGCACTTCCTGCAGGAGTTGCAGTTGGAACAATTCCACCTGAAGATCCGCAATGAGCTGAATGTCACACGTTTGTCCCATTTCGACTACGTCAAGACCATGGATCTGGAGCGAATAGGAATGGGACGTCCAGGTAGGAATTGGGAAGACATTTTTGGACCAACAGCAACGACAAATTTACACGTGTAAAGCGCCTTTCAGGTCGGGAGGACGTCCCAACAGGCGCTGGACAGTCAGCGTTTCGGACCCGAACTGGGGGTCGGGCTCAGGGAGGGTGGAGAGCAGAGGGGGGGGAAGGAGGGTGATCGAAAGCACGGTCGAAGAGGAGGGTCTTGAGATGGGTCTTGAAGGGGGCGAGCGAGGGGGCGAGGCGGAGGGACTGCAGAATGGAGTTTCAGAGGGTGGGGGCAAAGTGGCAGAAGGCCCACCTGCCAATGGTGGAGCGAGCGAGGCGGGGGGCATGAAGCAGGCCGGAGCCCACTGAGCGGAGGGAGCGAGCAGGATGGTAGGGGGTTAGGGGGTGGCAGAGGTTGGGGGGAGCGAGACCATGGAGGGGCTTTGAAGGTGAGGACCTGGATCTTGAACTGTATCTTCTGTGTGAGGGGAAGCCAGTGGGGTCGGGCGAGGATGGGGGTGATGGGGTCACGGAGCCTGGTGCGGGTGAGGACACGGGCTGCAGAGTTCGGGAGGAGTTGGGGGGAAGCCGACAAGCAGGGAGTTTGGGGGAGGGGGGGGGGTCGAGCCTGGATGTAATGAAGGCGTGTATGAGGGTCTCGGGGACCTGCGGTGTGAGACAGTGGTGGAGCCGGCGATGTTGCGGAGGTGGGGGAAGGTCGTGGCGCAGATGGGGGTAGAAAGGATAGTTGAGGGTCAAACAAGACCCCAAGGTTCTGGACGGCTCAGTGAGGGGGAGTGAGCCCCATGGATGGTGATGTTGTCAGCGTTTGAGGTGAGGAGGCGCTGACTGACAGGAGCCAACCAGGAAAACCTCGGTCTTGTTGACGTCCAACCGGAGAAAGTTCGCTCTCATCCAGGATTTGACGTCTGACCGACATCGTGTCAGCTCAGCGCCAAATCCCTGACTCACACCCCAAGAACTTACTTGGTGAAAGAAGACCGAGGTCCATCCAGGTCACCTTCCACCGTCCTGCCAGTCACTTGACATGTTGTGTCCCAAACTGTACCCCGTCTCCTCCCCCAGATATTATTTCCGAACGGAAACCCATCCCATTTGCTCTTGAAACAAACAACACTTTCAGCTTCTGTCTCCCCGGGGAACCTGTTCCACAAATTTACCGTCCAGTGTCTTCGGACGTCGCCCGGACGCGAACGGCGCTGTGTGAGTGTTATTGTTGTCGTCGTTTCTGTTTCCGTGTTGCTCACTCGGTATTTTCCAAACCCAGGACAGAGGCGTCTGCTTGACGCTGTGAAACGGAAGCGGGCAGCAGCGAAGCCTAAACCCTGGTCCAAGGTTAGTCAAACAAAGCTTCCCTTTATTAACGTAATAATAATAATAATAATAATATTATAATTGTGGGCAGGTCTCACACTCACACACACACGCGCTCACACGCTCACGACTCTGTTCCCGGCAGTCAGTAGGATACCCGCTTGTCAGTCGATTGGGGGATCACTTTCCGGGGGTAATAACCCCTTCCGAAAAAAACATTTGGCCACTCAATGCCACGACTGTTGGCGGGGACGTCGCTGAGCGCAATCGGCTGCCGCGTTTCGCCCGCAAAACACGCAGTCACTCCGCTGGACGGTACATCCTGCGAAGCGCTTTGAGGCGTCTCGAGGACGCGAGAAGGCGCCGTATCGAATGCGAGGATTATTGTGGCTGTGACTTAAGATCGTGAAACATATTAAAAATACAAATAAGATATTGGAAATAACGAAAAATATTTTAGAAATATTTTGAAATACTGTTAGAACCTGATGTTAATTTACTGAGGATTGTTCCCATAGATGTTCAACGCGAGAGCTGATCTTTACGAAACTCCGTCCCATCCCGGCGTTCCTCAAGGCTCCGCTCCGAACAGGGATTTTTCCTTGAAATGTCTGATCAACGAGAAGGATTTGATGCTCCACGAGAGGCTGGGAACGGGCTCGTTCGGAGTGGTCAGACGTGGGGAATGGAGACTGCCCAACGGGCGCACTGTGAGCATCTACTTTGGAATCGTGTTGCTCAGGGGTTAGACCCCTCCCTCGCACCCCACAGCCCCTGTAGCTCAGGGGTTAGACCCCTCGCCCCCCACCCCACAGCCCCTGTAGCTCAGGGGTTAGACCCCTCGCCCCCCAACCCCACAGCCCCTGTAGCTCAGGGGTTAGACCCCTCGCCCCCCACCCCACAGCCCCTGTAGCTCAGGGGTTAGACCCCTCGCACCCCACAGCCCCTGTAGCTCAGGGGTTAGACCCCTCCCAAGCCAGAGGACCCGGGTTTGATTCCCTGGTGAGTCAGGTCAGGGCCAAACCTCGGGCAAGTTTCCTTACTCCACACAGAGCCTAATAATAATCCCTCAAGAGAAAAAAAAAACAACAATAAATTGGTCATTTTCGATCTACGACTGTTTGTGGGACATTGCTGTGCGCAATTGGCTGCCGCGTTCGCCCACAAATATACAGTCAATTCACTTTACAGTGTGTTCTGTGAAGCGCTTTGGGACGTCCTCCCGACGTGAAAAGCGCTATATCAAATGCAAGGATTATTATTGTTATTATTATCCTGTGAAGCGCTTTGAGATGTCTCGAAGCCTTGATGAGGCATTGTATGAAATGTGAGGGTTATTGTTATCATTATTATTCCCAGTGTGTTAATAAGTATACACCGTGTGAAATAAGGACTTTCCTCTCTCGCAGGTAACCGTGGCTGTGAAGTGCCTGAAATCTGATCTCTCCAACGAGACAGATGTAACGTCTGATTTCCTACAGGAAGTGAATGCCATGTACGCTCTCAATCACCCCAACCTCATTCACCTGTTTGGTATGACACTGGGACAGCCGATGAAAATGGTGAGTTCATTGTGGAGCCCTGTAGCTCAGGGGTTAGACCCCTCGCCCCCCACCCCACAGCCCCTGTAGCTCAGGGGTTAGACCCCTCGCCCCCCACCCCACAGCCCCTGTAGCTCAGGGGTTAGACCCCTCGCCCCACACCCCACAGCCCCTGTAGCTCAGGGGTTAGACCCCTCCCCTCGCACCCCACAGCCCCTGTAGCTCAGGGGTTAGACCCCTCGCCTCGCACCCCACAGCCCCTGTAGCTCAGGGGTTAGACCCCTCGCCCCCCACCCCACAGCCCCTGTAGCTCAGGGGTTAGACCCCTCGCCCCCCACTCCACAGCCCCTGTAGCTCAGGGGTTAGACCCCTCGCCCCACACCCCACAGCCCCTGCAGCTCAGGGGTTAGACCCCTCGCCCCGCACCCCCCACAGCCCCTGTAGCTCAGGGGTTAGACCCCTCGCCTCGCACCCCACAGCCCCTGTAGCTCAGGGGTTAGACCCTTCGCTTCGCACCCCACAGCCCCTGTAGCTCAGGGGTTAGACCCCTCGCCCCCCACCCCACAGCCCCTGTAGCTCAGGGGTTAGACCCCTCGCCCCCCACCCCACAGCCCCTGTAGCTCAGGGGTTAGACCCCTCGCCCCCCACCCCACAGCCCCTGTAGCTCAGGGGTTAGACCCCTTGCCTTGCAAGCCAGAGGCCCCGGGTTCAATTCCCGGGCGGGTCAGGTCAGGGCGAAACCTTTGGCCAGTTTGGCGATTGCCGGATCGCTTTTCCGGGGGTAATAATCCCTCAAAATAATTTTTTTTTTTAAAAATTGGTGACTCAACGCACAGCTGTTGGTGGGCACGTCGCTGGGCGCAATTGGCTGCCGCGTTTCGCCCGCAAAGCACGCGGTCACTACACCCTCCCTACAGTACATCCTGTGTAAGCGCCTGGTGACGTCAGGACTGTTATTACCATTGCTGTACCGCAAACCGTAGTGACTGTGTGTTTGGTTCGTGTTGTGGTTGTGAGCTGGTTCTGAGGTCTGCGCCACCCCTTCCCGTTGGGCAGGTGACTGAGTTAGCATCGCTGGGATCTCTGTACGATTACCTGCGCGTGAGATACGGCCGCTTTCCCATCGCCACGCTGTGGCTGTACGCCTCACAGATCGCGGAGGGAATGGCCTACCTGGAATCCTCCCACTTTATACACCGTGACCTGGCGGCTCGAAACATCCTCCTGGCAGCCGAAGACACGGCAAAGATCGCGGACTTCGGGCTGACGAGATCTTTGACCAACACCGACCACTATGTGATGAAAGCGCATCGCAGGATCCCCTTCGCGTGGTGAGACGTCCGGTTTCCTTTCGTTTTTGCGCCGTTTTCATCACATACATTTTTTCCAAACGAGATAATCGTCGGAAATTGGTCGCCAGGAATGCTATAATTGCAGAGTCCCGGAGATTGGTGGTTAGAGCTCTCGCCTCGGAAGTTAGAGGAGACCCCGGGTTCGATTCCCGGGTGGAGCAAAAAGTTGGGCAAGTTTCCTCACTCCACACGAGCGCACACACACTCACACACACCACACACACATACACCGCACGCGCACACACCACACACACACACACCACACACCACACACACATACACCACACACGCACACACCACACATACATACACACACCACACACACATACACCACACTCGCACACACCACACACACATACACACACATACACCACACTCGCACACACCACACACACATACACACACCACACACACATACACCACACACACCACACACACATACACCGCACGCGCACACACCACACACACACACCACACACACACACACCACACACACACACATACCACACAGACACCGCACTCGCACACACCACACACACATACACACACCACACACACATACACCACACACACCACACACACATACACCGCACGCGCACACACCACACACACACACCACACACACCACACACACACACATACCACACAGACACCGCACATACACAACACACATATACACACACATACACACCACACACATACCACACACCACACAGACACCACACACACAGACACAGACACTTTTCCGGAGGTGATAATCCCTTCAAAATAAGAAAACGATAATAAATTTGGTCTCTCCATCCACGTCTGTGGGTGGGCCACTTCTGTGCGTAATTGGCTGCCGCGTTTCACCCACAAAACGCCCGGTCACTACACTTCACAGTACGGTCCGTGAAGCGCCTTGGGACGTCTCGAAGATGCGAGGAGGCGCCGGGTCAAACACCAGGGATTATTATTATTTTGTGGTGACGTAACTGTGGCTGTTCAGAACGTTGGGAGACAGAGAAACATCTGTAACAACCGCCGAGAGACAATAACATCTGTCTGTTTCCGGTTGCAGGTGTGCCCCGGAATGCCTAAAATCCGGGCTGTTTTCCCACGCCTCCGATGTCTGGATGTACGGGGTTTTGCTCTGGGAGTTGTTCTCCTATTGTGAGGAGCCCTGGTTGGGTCTCAATGGTCGCGAGGTATGAGCTATACTCACTGGTCTCCATCCTCCATGTTCCAGTCGTCCTCGAATCTTCACAAAACCTTGCGTTGAGTTTAAGAGAGGAAACGTGACAGTGGCAACACAAAACACACAGTCACTACACTTCAGCGCGTATTCCGTGAAGCGCTTTGAGACGTCTTAACCACGCGATAAGGCGCCGGGTCAAGCGCAAGGTTTTTTATTATGATGATGATGATTAGCGTGTGAGTGCGCAGGACAGTCTGGGGCTTGGACCCGAGCTGGGGGTTGGGATCGGGAGTGGGTGGCGGGCGGGGAGGGTAGTGGGGTGGCCGAAGGCGCGGTCGAAGAGGGGGGTCTTGAAGGAGGTGGGGAGGGGAGGGGCGGAGAGGGGGCGAGATGGAGGGACGCACTCGGTCAATGCCTTAAACAGTGCGTGTGTTCTTCAGATCCTAATGATGGTGGATCGAGAAGGAAAGAGACTCGATCAACCGGCAGACTGTCCGACCAACATATACAGTCTGTGTTTGCAATGCTGGGCGGCACGTCCAGAGGATAGACCGACGTTCAACAGCATACTGACCTGGGTCAAGGAGGTGCGTACCCCTGTTCTACCCCCCGGGGCTGTACTGAGCTGTGCGAGTCCTGCAGTGTGGGGAGACCCCTTGACTCACAAGCCACGGCACCGACGGTCGATTCCCCGGCGGGTTAGGTCAGGGCAAAGCGTTAGGCTCTACTCCACACACACACACACACACCCACACACAGACTCTCACACACACAGACTGACAAACACAAACACAGACTCACACACACACAGACTGACACACACAAACACAGACTCACACACACGCACACACACACACACAGACTGACACACACACAGACTGACACACACACACACACAGACTGACGCACACACAGACTGACACACACACACACAGACTGACATACATACACAGACTGAAGCACACACAGACTGACACACACAGACAGACAGACAGACACACACAGATTGACACACACACAGACACATACACACACACACCACAAAGACACACACACAAACACAGACACACAGGCAGACAGACACACACGTCCCTGTTTTCCCAGCAGTAGGAACCCGCTTGTTAGTCAATTGGCGGATCGCTTTTCTGGGGGTAAATTCCCTCCGCCCCCAAAATAATAACAATAAATTGATCACTTCATTCCACGACTGTTGGGCACAATGTCACCCGCAGTCAATTCACTTTACAGTCAATTTCCTTTACAGTAGACAATAATAATAATAATAATAACAGCCTTTGCCTTTGATACAGCACCGTAATGCAAGGATTATTATTTTATTATTAGACTGTAAGGTGAATTGGCTGCAATTGGCTGCCAAGTTTGGTCCACAAAACGCACAGTCACTACACTTTACAGTGTGAGACACAGCGAAGACCTGATCAGGCGCTGGATCAAATGCCGGGGTTATTATTATGAAGGGAACGGCTCTCAGTGATGAGAGGAGATGGGAAGGAGCTGCAATAAGCAGATGATTTTCTCTCCTCAGGTGCGTCCGAGGGAAGCCAAAGCCATCCAAGATGTGATGGACTCGGACCGACTGAGACTGCAGACCAACGATCTGATCACAGTCATGGAGGGCAAGTAGGTATCGTTTACCCCAACACGTCAGTCTGTGCGCGCGTGTGTGTGCGCGTGTGTGTGTGTGTGCGTGTGTGCGCGTGTGTGTGTGTGCGTGTGTGTGCGTGTGCGCGTGTGTGTGTGTGCGTCTTTGTCTCGGTTTCCCAGCGGTAAGTAGGAACCCGCTTATTAGTCGATTGGCGGATCGCTTTCTCGGGGTAATGATGAACAATAAATAATAATAATTATGCGGCCACTCAACCTACGACTGTTTGTGGGGACGCCGCTGTGCGTAATGGTCTGTCGTGTTTTGCCCACAAAATATGCAGCCGCTACACTTCACTAACAATCGGGACGCCTCAAAGCGCTTCGCAGCACACAGTGCAAAGCGGAGTGACTGCATTTATTTCCGCGAAAACACTTCGGGACGTCGCGAGGAAGTGATCAAAGCGCCACCCGAAATGCGAGGGTTATTACCGTTGACGGTCATTAATTATGAATCATTATCGATTATTATTAGAACTCCGATTAACGATTGCAAACGTGTTTAACGTGAACCCGTCGCCAACTGTGAGCGATCGTTATTAATTCTTATTCTTATTATCATTGTGATGGTTATTAATGCTGCTGATGATGATTGTATATGTCGCCAGACCTGGCAGCTCGTTGTGGAGAGGACAGAGCAAGAAAACACTTCAAATCGGACTTTTTCCTCAGAGCTGCGTGACCTCAGACACAGCCCGACCTGCCCCAGCGATCAGCTTCCCGCTCAGACAGACGTTCATCCACGCGGGTCACGGGGACGTCAACCCCAGGAGATGTTGGGGCAAACCAGAGTAAGTTCTCCTCCAAGCATTTCCGAGTGGGGGTCCCGCGGTGCAGCGGTCGGACCCCTTGCCCCGCAAGCAAGAGGACCCGGGGTTCAATTCCCGGCCAGGCCAGAGGGCGTAAGCGGGTGGGAGAGGCAGCGAGGGGGGGACCTGAGCGATTTGAAGACGAGGGAGAGGAGCTCGAAATCCATCCGCTCGGTGATAGGGAGCCAGTGGGGGCTGGCGAGGGCTGGGGGGATGGGGGACGGGGTTTAGTGGGTGATGGGGAGCCAGTGGGGCTGGCGAGGGCTGGGGGAATGGGGGACGGGTTTGTGGGGGTGATGGGGAGCCGGTGGGGGCTGGCGAGGGCTGGGGGGATGGGGGGACGGGGTTTAGTGGGGTGATGGGGAGCCGGTGGGGGCTGGCGAGGGCTGGGGGATGGGGGGACGGGGTTTAGTGGGGGTGATGGGGAGCCAGTGGGGGCTGGCGAGGGCTGGGGGGATGGGGGGATGGGGTTTAGTGGGGCTCAGTGGGGTTTGGGATCAGCCGGATTGACAAACACAGATAAACGTGACTCACACCTCTCTGATTATTTTACAGGAAATCTTTTCAGGACAGAATGGCCTCCAACCAACTTCTGGCAATGTCAGGTCAGTGCCCTCCTCCCGAGTTCTCAATCATCTTCCATTTAACAATGATAATCCTGACATTTGACCCGGCACCTTATCGCATCTTCGAGACGTCTCAAAGCGCTTCATTGGACATCATGTCAAGTGTAGTGACTGTGTACTTTCTGGGCAGAACACCCCCCACAAACAGTTGCGGGGTTGAGTGACCACATTTTTATTATTTGACTTTTTTGAAAGGATTATTAATGCCGGAAAGTGATCCGCCAATCGAGGAGTGTGTGCGGGTGCGTGCGCGTGCGCGTGTGTTTGTTAGGGGTGGGGGGGGTGGTGGGGGAGTAAGGAAACTTCGCCCTGACCTGACCCGCCCAGGAATCGAACCCGGGTCCTCTCGCTCGCGAGACGAGGGCTCTAATCAGTTCACTTCAGGACTCCACACGACCAAAGTAAATCAATAATAAAAATAATTGTTTGGTCACTTAATAATAACAACAATAATAATCATAACTATTGACTGTTTGTGGGGGGAACGCTGCTGTGCACAATCGGCTGCTGCGTTTCGCCCACAAAATACGCAGTCACTACACGTTACAGCGTATCCTGTGAAGCGCTTTGAGACGTCTCGAAGGCGCGGTATGAAATGCGCTCCGTCAAATCAGAATTTTCTGTTCCCATCTAACAACCGGATGACCAAAAAGTTATCACGACTTTTATGGTCACTCTGTAGGACGGCGGGACAGGCTCGAGGGGCTGAATGGCCTCCTCCTGAAATCACTTCATTCCCTCGCGCCTCCCTGCCTCTCCGGCCCCCCCAACTCCACCACCCGCTGCCTCCCCTCGGCCGGCTCCTAATCGTCCCTCGCCCCCTCCGCTCCACCGTCGGTGGCCGTGCCTTCAGCCACCGCGCCCCGAAACCCAGTCACTCTCTCCTTGAATCCCTCCGCCTCGCCCCCTCCCTCCCACCTTCACATGCTCGCCTAAAGACCTTTATGATCATGTTTCCGGTCCACCCCTCCCTCCCCTTCCCTTCCCTCCCCCCTTTCCTGCCCCCCCCCACTCCCTCCCTTCCTCCCTCCCCTCCTTCTCCTCTTCTCCCTCCCTCCCTCTGTGAAGGTAATTATTATTATTATTATTATTATTATTATTATAAGGGCAGTTGTCGCTGTTGTATGTTCCCTGACCTCAGAGCTGTGTATTCCCAGGTCTGTCCCGAAGTTTGGACTCCGATTTGGGTGGAAAGAAGCTCCTCGAACAGGCCAACCCAGACCTCGACCCAAAGCACCGGCCACAGAGAGTCAAGGATCAGCCGGGGGGGGCGCGGAGGCCTGGAGTTGGCCACAATGCCAGGAAGATGTTGAGGGATCTGGGAAACGGGACCCGGTTCGCCGCGGAGGCTGAGGATATCACTCTGGACCTCGGGAAACTTCGGCTCAAGGTACAAAAATCAGGGACATTCTGGTGGGTAAATATTTGGGGAAGGACAAGTTTTCAGGGCTGTGGGGAGAGCAGGGGGAGTGGGATTAACTTGGACACGAGTTGAACCCCCCCCTCCCGTTGTGGTCTATGTTGTCCAACAACGGTAGAATCTAAGAGACAGCACAATCACGTCTTTACGACACGATGGGCTGAATGGCCTCCCTCTGTGCTGTGTGATTCTATGATTCTATACTAAACCTTTATAAGTCACCGGTGAGGCCTCAGCTGAGACTGTGTCCAATTCTGGGCACCGCACTTTAGTGAGGATGTCAAGGCTTTGGAGAGAGAGCAAAGGAGATTTACCACATGATACCAGGGATGAGGGACTTCAGTTATGTGGACAGACGAGAGGGACTGGGATTGTTCTCCTCAGAGCAGAGAAGGCCTGTAGCTCAGGGGTTAGACCCCTCCCTCGCCCCCCCACCCACAGCCCCTGTACCCAGGGGTTAGACCCCTCCCCTCGCACCCACAGCCCCTGTAGCTCAGGGGTTACACCCCTCGCCCCCCACCCCACAGCCCCTGTAGCTCAGGGGTTAGACCCCTCGCCCCCACCCACAGCCCCTGTAGCTCAGGGTTTACACCCCTCGCCCCCACCCCACAGCCCCTGTAGCTCAGGGGTTAGACCCCTCGCCTCGCACCCCACACCCCTGTAGCTCACGCACACCCACACCCCCCCCCCCCACACACACACACACCCACCCCCCCCACCACACACACACACACACACACACACACCCACACACCCACACACATATCAGCAGTTAGCAGGAACCCGCTTGTTAGTCGATTGTATGCATCGCTTTCTGGAGTTAATAATCCCTAAAAAAATAAAATAATTTGTCACTCAACCCCCGGCTGTTTGTGGGGACGCCATCGGGCGCGATCGGCTGCCGCGTTTCGCCCACAAAACACACAGTCACTACACTTTACACCATATTCTGTGAAGCACTTAGATTCATCTCGATGATGGGATTATTATCCTAACAGCCTGAGAAACCGTGAAACATGAAGCAACAACATCAGAAAACTCTGGACTTCCCCCAAAGGTTAAGATAATCTGCGAAAGAACCAGAGGGGAGAACGAGGAGACATTTTTTTTTACACAGAAAGTTGTCGCGGTCTGGAACCCACTGCCTGACGGTGGGGACAGGTTCCACAGAGGCTTTCAAAGGGGAATTGGACAGAGACTTGAAAAGGAAAAAATTGCAGGGGTTTGGGGTAAGAGGGGGGAGTGGGGACTAGTTGGGGTAAGAGGGGGTGAGTGGGGACTAGTTGGGGTAAGAGCGAGGGAGTGGGGACTAGTTGGAACCTCTTCCAAAGAGCCGGCACAGGCTGGATGGGCTGAATGTCCTCCCCCTGTGCTGACTCTTTACCCTATTTTCCAAAAGCGAAAACAAAGTGTTGTGATTTCTTTAAGGGCTGATCAGACCAGACATGGACTGCGGGGGGTGCGGGGGGGGGGGTGATGTGGTGCCACGGGGGGTGATGTGGTGCCACGGGGGGTGATGTGGTGCCACGGG